AGTAGCGTCGGGTCGAAGCGCGGGTCGCAGTCCGGTTCGGGTCATGGTCTGGGTCGCGGGCTACAGAGGCTACGGGGCCAAGACTACAGTTGGGCCTCCGCTTATTAGGCTGGGCCGAAAGTTTTTTTTTTTTTTTGGGTTGCAGGCCGGCTCGCTTGGACCGTGGGTCTGGTCTCGGGTTGGTTCAATTGAACCGTAACTTCTGGGCTGGTCTGAGGTTTGGGCCGCAGTAGTTGGGCTGGGCCGAAGGCAGAGGCCGAGGAAAGAATGGGCTGACCCTCTCAGATTCTGGGTTCGGGTTGACCCGGATCCGTGGGTCTCATCTTCCTTACCCGACTTCGGCCGATTTTCCAGCGAGCTTTCTCTCTCTCCTTCCCGCTACGTTTCCATTGCCGATTTCGGTCCTCTCTCTTTCTCTTCTTCTTTATTTGTCGTCCTTCTTTCTTTTCTGGAAGTCTTGCGCCTAAAGGTTCCTAAAATCACAGATCTATGACGATTAGGAAAAATCCAATTTTCCGACCTCGGTACCGACGACGGCGCTTATGAAGAAACGCAGAACGCACCTTGAGTTAACGTGCTTTCGCTAGGGACCGTTCTCATGGTGGTAATAGGTCGTTTGGTGTCGGTTTGAGGGTGGTTTGAGGGTTCGTCGGAGAAACTGGACACTCGCCAATTTTTTTTTTCCGAAATCTCTCTTTCTCGTAGTTTCTGTCTTTTCTCTCTTTGCAGGTATCCTGATGGTGCTGGTGTCGTGGGCTGAGGGCTGGGCGTGTTGTGGCCGTCGTATCGCGTGGGTTCCGCAAAACTCGGCGGTCGCCGGAAAACTCGCGGGTTTTCCAGCGACTGAGTTTTTGTTTTTGTTTTTTTTTCTAGTTTTCTCGTTTTCCTTTATTTATTTATTTATTTATTATATATATATGTATATATATATATATATATATATATATACACATTTTTTTTTCTTTCTTTCTTTCCCGGGTCGTTACACAGGAACTAGCGGAGCTGACGTGCGAGTCACTCGGGTGCAACGGAGATGAATCACTAGTAGTGAATTTTGCTTTTAAGTTGTATCATATGCTGGACGAGAGCGTGTGAATAGAGAAAAGGTCCGAGATGAGTGCGTGTCAGATTATTCATTTTTGCTAAGTTTAGGAGCTGTTTCATGGTCCTCATAGAAGCAACCGGTAGTCACACTGTCCACTACTTAAGCTGAAATCATTGCTGTTGTAGCTTGTGCAATGATTGCTGCTGCAGCTTGTGCAATCATTGCTACTGCAGCTTGTGCTTGCGAAACCATATGGTTGAGAAGGATGCTGGAAAAGCTCGATCATATCTCAATTGGAGCTACAATGGTGTACTGTGATAATAGTTCCACTATTAAGCTAACCGAAAATCCAATTTTCCACGATCGAAGCAAACACATTAATGATCGTTTCCACTTCCTCTGTGATTTAAGTAAAGGTGGAACTGTGATGTCACAACATTGTCATACTAAAGAGCAAGTGTTTGATACCATAACAAAACCTATGACTCGAGTTGTGTTTGAGATGCTATGCGTGTTGCTTGGTGTCTGCCAAGATCCTGAAGTTTGATCTAAACACTGCATTTTAGTTGCTATTTTTATGTTTTAGTTTCTTAATATTAGATCACTGATACAATTTTATGCCCATATCAGATAGCTATTTTTATGCTTTAGTTTCTTAATATTAGATCACTGATAAGTTTTATGCGATATCAGTTGTAGATATATTCTTTGTTTTGGCATGATATTCTAGTTTCTGTTAGAATTTTATTTTTATCTTTGGTTACACATTGTACTGGATATAAATGTACTCATTCTTCAGAGAATAAAGTACTAGTTTCCTTCCTTTTGCAAACCTATCTTCATTAAATTTATCACCGCTATCCTAAGCAATTTAACTGGGTGTGTATTTATTGTTCTACACACGGTCAACACGTGTGAGTATGGACCCACCATTCGGTTTGCACACCTCTTGGGCGTCTTTCTTGTTGGGTGAGCATTCCTTAGGAGTTGTTGATGTCGGACACCCGTTAGGAATAGCAACCATTGTAGCATTCTAATAAATATAATGATTGTTTCCGTGCCTCGTAGTGTACGCGTCTGTACCATCATAAAAGAAGAAGGGGTATCCATGACTTTATATTATATTCGTGGCTTTCATTACATGTATAACAACCCCTCTAACATTTTTCTTTATATTATATCATTTTATCATAATTTTCCATGCATTTATCGGAGTTATGCATTATCATGTCTTCTAACATATCATAAACTTATCATGTCTTCTAACGTATCATATCATATCATATATCATAACATTCAAAAATCACATCACGAGCAGGTCGTCAAGCATAGAATATCTTAACACATCATATTGTAAACATATCATTTGATCACGTATAACATAACATTCACATATCATATCGTACACATCATTTCATTATCATCCAAATATATGTGTATACGGCACATGCAAAGCCACGACCACATGTCATCATACAACATACAATTTATAACCAAATCAATAGAAGTGTCACCTACTTGGTTGGCTTTAACCGACATTTCCCTAATATTCAAATGCGTTTGCTTTTCGTCCCTTGAAATTTCTCAAAGTATTGTCGATTGTAATTTTCTATTAAAACGTTCATTTTGTTTCGTTAGTAAGTAAAATTCCTTAACTCAATTTAACTTAAATCGTGAAATTGAACCTTATATTTACCTTAATTGTCTTAAAAAAGGTCAATTTTAGCTTGAAGATGATCATAACGATGAAAATTGAACAAAATTCCCTCTACCAAGCTGAGGGATTGATTTCTTAGTCGCAAAGCCAAGCAAAAGTCGAGCGAGCTAACTGAACCGCATACGCTGAAGGAAGCTTGGTAGTATCTTAATATGCATAATTGAGTTTGACAAAATTTGAGAAAAAATAAGAAGGTAAAAAAAACTATGTCATTATAGAACTATGTCATTATTTTATTGTGGCCTATGCCATTTTTATAGTTAAGAGACAGTAACACCTCCATACATAGAGAGAGGGGGCTTAGTGTAAGCACGGATAGTAGTCTAATGCTTGTTGAACTCCTTGAGGACATCTTCAAATGATGATAGTACTCCACCTTTGCAATATATGACCAAGGAATGCCATCGTCAGTTATAGCTTCTACCACAATAATAAAAATTCTTATTCTACCTCCATTGATCGTATAAGACAGACCATTCACCACATGCAAGTAAATGAGTCATTCACCATTCTTGTTATACACTTCCATTTCAAACCTTCCAACCTTTTGCAATTCTTCTTCATTGACATTCTTAATTGGAACTATATTTGAAGGAAACACTTCTCCACACCTCATTCGATAACATCTTTGATACATAGTTTCATTAACTTATTTTGTTCATGAATAAGTGGAGTTCAATATTTATAGCTGTCGCTGAACGCGGTTCAAATTGATATAGCCGAATCTTACAACAAACAATAATTGAGCATTCCTCCATTAGAAGATAGCTTTGGATAATGGTTGCATTGTTTTAGTGAAACAATTAATATTTGATTTATTACTAGTGGAACAAACATTTTGTAGGTATATTTTTTAGTTTTACTAATAAATTACACATTAATAGTTTGATACAATTAAGGTTACTTAAATTTGTGAGTAGAAGTATAGATTGAGCTTGGTTGAACATGTAATCTTATTGTACTAATAAATTACACATTAATTGTTTGATACAATTAAGGTTACTTAAATTTGTGAGTAGAAGTTTAGATTGAGCTCGGTTGAACAGGTACTCTTAAATTATATCTAAAACTAAATATGATTTCCTTTTTATACATTCATAACAACAAAATGTGCATGGTGGGAAGTACGTTGTGTTTTAATTGGGTTATTGAATAAACCTTCTCGGAAAGTAAATTTAGTATTGATACTAATATTCAATATTTATTTAATTAATTTAAATTTAGATCTTCTGCATAGAAGTGTGCCCATTAGTTGGTTTGCCCGAGAGGTTAAGGAGGAAGACTTAAAATCTTCCACACGAAAGTGCGCATGGGTTCGAACACCATAGCCAGCATTATGGGCCTCCCATGGTACTGAGGGGTTCGATTCTACGGATGTGCATTTTTCAAGCTTACTTGGAGGTGAATCGTACCCTTAATAGGTGCATTTTACACTATTAATAGTTGTGAAGAGGCCCCCTAATTTTGTAGGCCAATCTTCTAATGACTTGAAACCCCTAATGGGTGACTTACTCTTGTAATAGTTGTGAAGAGGCTTAAACTTATGGGACTAGATTGGCCAGGCCATAAAATTGGCTAATTTTATGGTCCAACTAAAACACACCTACTACTCGTGCAAATCTAGTATAGTTGTATCATAGTACCCTCCCATGGTACTGAGGGGTTCGATTCCACGGATGTGCATTTTTCAAGCTTACTTGTAGGTGAATCGTACCCCTAATAGGTGCATTTTTTAAGCTTACTTGTAGGTGAATCGTACCCCTAATAGGTGCATTTTTCAAGCTTACTTATAGGTGAATTTAGCCCAAATAACCCAAATAGGTGACTGTAATAGTAGTGAAGAGGCTTAGATTTATGGGCTAGATTAACCAAGACATAGAACCCTCCCATGGTTGATCGGAGTTCGATTCCCTACGGATGTGCATTTTTCAAGCTTACTTGGAGGTGAATCGTACCCTTAATAGGTGCATTTTACACTATTAATAGTTGTGAAGAGGCCCCCTAATTTTGTAGGCCAATCTTCTAATGACTTGAAACCCCTAATGGGTGACTTACTCTTGTAATAGTTGTGAAGAGGCTTAAACTTATGGGACTAGATTGGCCAGGCCATAAAATTGGCTAATTTTATGGTCCAACTAAAACACACCTACTACTCGTGCAAATCTAGTATAGTTGTATCATAGTACCCTCCCATGGTACTGAGGGGTTCGATTCCACAGATGTGCATTTTTCAAGCTTACTTGTAGGTGAATCGTACCCCTAATAGGTGCATTTTTTAAGCTTACTTGTAGGTGAATCGTACCCCTAATAGGTGCATTTTTCAAGCTTACTTATAGGTGAATTGTACCCCAAATAACCCAAATAGGTGACTGTAATAGTAGTGAAGAGGCTTAGATTTATGGGCTAAATTGACCCAGACATAGAATTGCTAACTTTATGATCCAACTAAAACACACATACTTCCCTCTTGGATGTGCACATCTAGTGTAGTGGTATCATAGTTTCCTCCCACGATACTAATCGGGCTTCGATTCCCCTGAATGGCTAAGTACACCTAAAATAACCCCTAACGAGTGACTTTCTACTTAGACTTATGGGCCTGATAGGGCTAGGTTGACCAAGCCTTGGCTAACTTCGTCTAACTAAAGCACACAATACTTCTCAACTGGATGTCCACATCTAGTGTAGTGGTATCATAGTACCCTCTCACGGTACTGTCCGGGAAATTTCCTTGGAGAACCCCTAATGGGTGACTTACTCTCTTGTAATAGTAGTGAAGAGGCTAAGACTTACGGGCCTGATATGGCTAGATTGACCGCCATAGAATTGGCTAAATTTATGGACCAACACACAGTACTTCCCTCCTGGATGAGCACATCTAGTGTAGTGGTATCATAGTACCCTCCCATGGTACTAACCAAGGTTCGATTTATTGGATGTGAATTTTTCAAGCTTACTTGAAGGTCAATCGTCTAATGACTTTTATGAAATAAAGAGATTAGAAATAAGTGGCTAAGGGCACCTAGAAGAAACCATAATTGGTGACTTACGGGTCTGATAGGGAATTGGCTAACTTTATGGTCAAACTAAAACACACAGTACTTCCCTCCTGGATGTGAACATCTAGTGTAGTGGTATCATAGTACCCCTCCCACAGTACTGACCGGGATTGGATTCCCATATGTACATTTTTCAAGCTTACTTGTAGGTAAATCTTCTAATAACTTAGATGAAATAAAGAGATCTTCTAATGATTAGATGAAATGAAGAGATTAGAAATAAGTGTCTATGTGCACTTAGAAGAACCTGAGTGACTTACTCTCTTGTAATAGTAGATAAGAGTCCTAAGCTTATGGGCCTGATAGGGCTAGATTGACCAAGCCATAGAATATGCTAACTTAATGGTCCAACTAAAACACACACTACTTCCCACCTGGATGTGAACATCTAGTGTTTGGGTATCATATAAAGGGAATGAATTCTTCATCCACGTAAGGAAGCATTGAGAACCGTTTTAATTTTTATTATGAATTAAAACAAAAGAAATAAATATGAGTTTAAGAATTTTACCTTTCTAGAAATCCTAGTTTGCAAGACATTCTTCCACATTCCACAAGATCTTCCTTGCTATGACTCGAACACAAAGCTAAGGCTTGTGGGAGCCTCTTGAAAGAAAATCCCGAAGGGTTTAGAGAAGAAGAAAGAGTTTCGAGAATTCTTTAGAGATGTAATTACATTCTCCAGAGAAAGTGGGAGAGATTGATGTGTCTTTTGCTCAACCCAAAGGTGTTGTCCTCTAGATTCAATCTTCATGAATTATAAGCTAATCTACATAGAGTTATCCGTTGAAGAGGACAACTTATTTACCATTCGAATTTCAAAATATTTGTAGTCTCTTGAAACTTATTTCCCATTCGAATTTCAAAATATTCGAATGGTACTAGAACACATAGGCAAACTCAAGTGTCTTCGCTCTGCCCCTCTTTTTTTCTTGGTATAAAGAAACTTGCATTCTTTGTTTCTGACATCTTCTTCCTCCACTGTTCATCTCTCCATAGTTACCATTGAACCCTCTCTCTCTTACCCTTTTCTCACAATAGAGTCATGGACTTAATTCTAAAGCCTGTATCTTGCGTCTCAATAGTCCACAACCATGTCATGGACTTAATTCTAAAGTCTGTACCTTGCGTCTCAATAGTCCACACCCTATAGTTGTTTCTAACACCTGATTGCTTCGTTCTTCATTCTCCATTTCCATTCTCTCTCTTGTTTCATTCCTGTTCCATTTGTAATCAGATGTTTGATTTGTCCAAATTCTAATGGAAATTTTTCATTCTCTCTCCTTTCTTGTTCTATTTCGAGATTGACCAAGGCCTTTCAAATGACCCTCTCTCTCTCATCCTTCTTCCTTTGGGTTTCTCTCTACTAAATGGGTTAATCATATTCTGTCATGTCAACATCACTAGTGCCCGATGAACCCTTTACAGTTTTCGATGACCAAGAAAATACTATAATGCTCAGCCAGACGTCTTCTCCAAACCAGGCTACTAACATCTTCACAAAAAGTGTTTTTCAACCTCTCTTTGAATTTTTCAGATCCAAGTCTCACGTTCATTCAAATCCAACGCTCAGCTTGCAAGGTTTTAAGGATATTTAGTTATGAATTATGGTTTGCCATATATATCATAGTTGACCTTTTATTACAGACAAGTATGATTGAGGAGATTTAGCCTTCTATTACAGTTTATCATAGGTACCATATTTGATTCTTTATTGTAGTCAAATAAAATACTATAATAGAATTATGTTAAAATAGTATTTTAGTAGTTCGCAAAATACTATGTTAGAACGCAAAATACTATGTTAGAATACTATTAGGGATACTATTCTAACATAGTATTTTGCGGACTACTAAAATACTATCTTAGAATAATATTTTAGTAGTTCGCACAATATCATAGGATAAATAGTATTTTAGTAGTTCGCAAGGAAGAAGGTTGCTCTCTATTATATTGAGACTATTAGAGAGGTAAATCTTCCAAGATTCACATGTAAAACTTGCAAGCGAATATTTAAGTAGAAAATTATTAAGATGGCGGATTTAAGTAGAATTATGATAAATTGAACGTAAACATATTTCAAGAGGGTACTATGATACCACTGCACTAGATGTGCACGTGTAGGAAGGAAGGAAGTACTGTGTGTTTTAAGTTAGACCAGTTGGACCATTAAGTAAGCCAATTAATGCCCATAGATGTGAATATCCAGGTGGGAAGTAGTGTGTCTAAGCCTTCTTCACTATTATTATAGAGATCTAGCCATCAGAACTACAAGTCTAAGTCAAGCCTTCTTCACTATTATTACAGAGATCTAGCCATCAGGGCTATAAGTCTAAGTATAACCCAAGCCTTCTTCACTATTATTACAAAGATCTAGCCATCAGGGCTATAAGTCTAAGCCAAGCCTTATTCACTATTATTACAGAGTAAGTCACTTGTTAGGGATTCTTCTCTGGGGTTCGTGGAAGGGTACTATGATACCACTACACTAGATGTGCACGTCCAGGAGAAGTACTGTGTCTTTTAGTTGGACAATAAAATGCTCAGTACCGTTGGAGGGTACATGATACCACTACACTAGATGTGCACATCCTGGATGTCTTTGAGTTGGACCATAAAGTTAGCCAATTCTGGCTTGGTCAATCTAGCCCGCCTCTTCACTACTATTATAGGAGAGTAAGACACCCCCATTAGGGGTTCTCTTCTCCTAGGTGCACTTCCGACTAATTTCTAATCTCTTTATTTCATAAAAGTGATTAGAAGATTAACCTACAAGTAAGCTTGAAAAATTCACATTCGAGAAATTTAACCCCGGTCAGTACATTAGAAGATTAACCTACAAGTAAGCTTGAAAAATTCACATTCGAGAAATTTAACCCCGGTCAGTACCGTAGGAGGGTATTATGATACTACTACACTAGATGTGCATATCTTGGAGGGAAGTACTCGATCTTTGAGTTGGAGCATAAAGTTTACCAATTCTATGGCTTGGTCATTCTAGCCCGCCTCTTCACTAGGAGAGAGTTGGACCATAAAGTTTAACCAATTCTATGGCTTGGTCAATCTAGCCAGCTTCTTCACTAGGAGAGAGTTGGATCATAAAGTTAACCAATTCTATGGCTTGGTCAATCTAGCCAGCCTCCTCACTAGGAGAGAGTTGGACCATAAAGTTAACCAATTCTATGGCTTGGTCAATCTAGACCGCCTCTTCACTAGGAGAGAGTTGGACCATAAAGTTAACCAATTCTATGGCTTGGTCAATCTAGCCCGCCTCTTCACTAATTTCTAATCTCTTCTCCTAGGTGCACTAACGACTAATTTCTTATCTCTTTATTTCATAAAAGTGATTAGAAGATTAACCTACAAGTAAGCTTGAAAAGTGCAAATTCGAGAAATTTAACCCCAGTCAGTACCGTAGGAGGGTATTATGATACTACTACACTAGATGTGCATATCTTGGAGGGAAGTACTCGGTCTTTGAGTTGGAGCATAAAGTTAACCAATTCTATGGCTTGGTCAATCTAGCCCGCCTCTTCACTGGGAGAGAGTTGGACCATAAAGTTTAACCAATTCTATGGCTTGGTCAATCTAGCCAGCCTCTTCACTAGGAGAGAGTTGGACTATAAAGTTAACCAATTGAAAAGAGTTGGACCATAAAGTTATCCATTTCTATGGCTGGGTCAATCTAGCCCGCCTCTTCACTAGGAGAGAGTTGGACCATAAAGTTAACCAATTCTATGGCTTGGTCAATCTATCCCGCCTCTTCACTACTATTATAGGAGAGTAAGACACCCCGGGGGGGTTCTCGTACGTGTACTTTTCCACCAATTTCTAATTTCTTTATTTCATAAAAGTCATTAGAAGATTGACCTACAAGTAAGCTTGAAAAATGCACATTCGAGAAATCGAACCCCGATTTGTTTATTTCATAAAAGTCATTAGAAGATTGACCTACAAGTAAGCTTGAAAAATGCACATCCGAGAAATCGAACCCCGATTTGTTTATTTCATAAAAGTCATTAGAAGATTGACCTACAAATAATCTTGAAAAATGCACATCCGAGAAATCGAACCCCGATTTCTTTATTTCATAAAAGTCATTAGAAGATTGACCTACAAGTAAGCTTGAAAAATGCACATCCGAGAAATCCAACCCCGATTTCTTTATTTCATAAAAGTTATTAGAAGATTGACCTACAAGTAAGCTTGAAAAATGCACATCCGAGAAATCGAACCCCGATTAGTACCGTGGGAGGGTACTATGACATGTGCACATCTTGGAAGGAAGTACTGTGTCTTTTAGTTGGATCATTAAGTTGGAGGGAGTAGTGTGTGTAGTGTGTCTTTTAGTTGGACCATAAAGTTAACCAATACTATGGCCCTGTGTCTTTTAGTTGGATCATTAAGTTGGAGGGAGTAGTGTGTGTAGTGTGTCTTTTAGTTGGACCATAAAGTTAACCAATACTATGGCCCTGTGTCTTTTAGTTGGATCATTAAGTTGGAGGGAGTAGTGTGTGTAGTGTCTTTTAGTTGGACCATAAAGTTAACCAATACTATGGCCCTTTTCACTACTATTACATAGGAGAGTAAGATGCCATCGGGAAAGATCGGCCTAGAGGGTACTATGATACCACTACACTAGATGTGCACATCCTAGAGGGAAGTACTGTGTCTTTTAGTTGGATCATTAAGTTGGAGGGAGTAGTGTGTGTAGTGTGTCTTTTAGTTGGACCATAAAGTTAACCAATACTATGGCCCTTTTCACTACTATTACATAGGAGAGTAAGATGCCATCGGGAAAGATCGGCCTAGAGGGTACTATGATACCACTACACTAGATGTGCACATCCTAGAGGGAAGTACTGTGTCTTTTAGTTGGACAATAAAGTTAGTCAATTCTATGGCTTGGGACACCCATTAGGGGTTTCTTCTAGGTGCACTTTTCTACTAATTTCAAGTAAGCTTGAAAAAAGCACATCTAGGGAATCGAACTCCGATCAACCATGGGAGGGTTCTATGTCTTGGTTAATCTAGCCCATAAATCTAAGTCTCTTCACTACTGTCCCAGTAGGGGTTCTTCTAGGTGCACTTATAGCCACTTACTTATTTCTAATCTCTTTATTTCATCTAAGTCATTAGACGATTGACCTACAAATAAGCTTGAAAAATGCACATCCAGGGAATCGAACCCTAATAAATATTGTGGATATCGTGGGAGGGTACTAACATGATACCACTACACTAGATGTGCACATCCAAGTGGGAAGCAATTCTATGTCATGGTTAACCTAGCCCATAAATCTAAGTCTCTTCACTACTGTCCCTAGGTTCTTCTAGGTGCACTTATAGCCACTTACTTATTTCTAATCTCTTTATTTCATCCAAGTCATTAGACGATTGACCTACAAATAAGCTTGAAAATGCACATCCGGAATCTAACCTTAGACGATTGACCTACAAATAAGCTTGAAAAATGCACATCCAGGGAATCTAACCCTAATAAATATTGTGGATATCGTGGGAGGATACTAACATGATACCACTACACTAGATGTGCACATCCAAGTGGGAAGTCACCTATTAGGGTTTCTTAGGGGTTCTTCTAGGTGCACTTACCCACATATTTCTTATCTCTTTATTTCATAAAAGTATATTAGTAGAAGATGTAAATCACTTATATATCTATAATGCTGACTATGGGGTTCGAACCCATGCGCACTT